ATGTTAGACAATGTAGACAGTTGCAAGTCACGTACAGTTCAATAAAAAAAAAATGCCAAAACAATGTATTACAATATTAGAAATTATGCGTTAAAAATTCCTTATGACAGATCGAACGATTTTACAAACGTTTTTTTCAAGAAGATAATTGCTTCAAATATTGGACAAAGCCTTTTTTATTAAACTTTTGGCAGAGGTCTTACGGCACAACCTTAAGTATTCCGGCATGTATAGAAATACATACATGTATAAGAAATAACAGTCTCGTCTAGGAAGTCAGTTTTTCTGACAGTGTTTCCTATTCATTCGCATCAGGTTGAATATTGAAACACGCGTTTACACTTGTAACCCTAGTAGCCGTATGTTAAAGTTTCTGGATCGCGCGAAGGGAAATACAGAACTAGGTGTTAATGTATCTAGATCGGTTCGAGTATACATAGACGTTGAAAGCGTTAATTACTTTAGTCAGGTTCACTGACTGAGTTTTAAGCACTACCGTTCACGACGGTTGTGCAACATAGGCGGACGTTATTATCGCTGGTTATATTCTCTTGTTCATTAAACGGGTGCAAAGACATTCAGGTTTGCTCTTCTTTTTACGACCTTCCGCTCTCGTTCTTCACATCTCGTTTTATAAAACAGTACTTAACCGTTACAATGTTCCCTAACAAGATTTTCACAATCTTTACGGTTAATCAAATTTGTGACTTTGTAATTTACCATTTAACATTTGACTGGTAGTAAAATGAAGAAAAGTTATGATACTTGTGGCTATTTCGAGACTAGATTTTCCGAGCCAGTAAGATAAGCTCGTGATTAGTCAGTTTCTTTCTAATGTTACAGAATCCAAAAACTTTCGTTTCCAAAACAAGATTTCGAGGAAGGAGCAAAACTCCGGCTCTTACTCTGTCAGCCGGAAATGGAAGACACGCGTTTCCAGATAAATGGCGGGGTAGGGGCAACAAATCACCGACGGTTGTCCGTTCGAATGCGAAAGTACACGCGGCTGTTCGTCGCCTATTAAGCGGCGACAACCCCGAAAGAATCGAAGAAGTCTCGCCTCGTAAGAACGAGCACCAGGTAGGGGAGAAGGGAACACCCTCGGGGAAGGAGCACGAGGGGGATGGGTGCCGCCGCTTGATAAATGCGCGGCCCGTACGCCTAGGAACCAGTTTGATGTTTACCTAGTAAGTAGCGTGTTGTCAGTCAGCTGGTTTGTTGCATCCTCGCCGAGGCAGCCGCCCGTAGCGTAAAACGCAGTCAGCTAGCGCACGCTTACGCTACTCTTCGTACTCCTGCTCTCTCTTACTTACGCCTGCACCGATCCCCGGTACGCACACATGTATACACAAGACGAGTAGTACAGTACCTCGGGAGTCGGAGTATCCGGGCGGTAACTATAGCGGCGCGTTGTGTATTCGTATTCAGAGAACCGGGAGGGAAATTCACGGTGGGGACCGTTCGTAGGGATACATCCTGCCGGTGGTGGAGGCAAAATTGGTGGGGGTGAGAGTGGGGGTTCTCTGTTGCACGCCGGCAGTCATGCAGGGTGCGTGACTGTCGTCGGAATAGGGATTCGAAGTCAGACTCAGTTGCTGCCCGACGTTCTTGGTGGAATGTCGTCGCGCTTGCCCTATTCCTCCTCGTTCGCTCGTACACCGTGCAAGTAATTTCCTCACGAGAGTTTTTACTAGTAAACGATTTTACGCGCTCGACATCATCAGGATAATTCGGAACGCGTGCCACGTCCCTGTGAATCAATTAACGGCTAGTGTCATTCAGTGGTTATGACTAATCGGTGTTTACGCTGCTCGTACGAGGCACGTCGGATAGCGTAGTTGAATGAGGTTGATCGAATGTAACGACGTTTAGTGTTTACCGTTGGTGTGTAATTCGATAGAGAGTGAGAAAGAGAGCAACGATATCGCTCCGATCCCGCGTTAGTTCGTTCGCTCGGTCGGATTAGAATCGAGGCCGAAACGCGGAGAGCCAGATCCGGGTTTTCGAATCGGGTCGCGAGAAGTGGTGATATGAGAGAGTGACTATGAGTGCGTGACGACGGTGACAACGACGAGGAACCACGCGACGAACCCGCGACGAGAAGATTCAGTTCCAGTCCCTCGGATTGCGCGGGGAGTAACGAGGACGCGACAATTGCACGGAAATGGAGCCGACGACGAGCGGATCGACGTGGTCTCGATCGAGCTGCTGGCCAGTACCGGTGATCCTCGCCTGTTGGCTGTTGTTGAACACCGCGCGAATAGATGGTCGCAGCATCACCAGCCTCGAGGCACCGAACGGTTGCGAGTGGAAAAAGGACGGAGACGACGGGGAAAAAGCGCTCGCCTGTAGGGTCAGGACCATCGCCAACGTGCCCGGCCTAATTGGCAATCTCTCGGCCATTCAAGTGGACTCGATCAGCTCGCTGGCCTTGGAATGCAGCGACGTGTTGTTCTTCGAGAGCCAGATAGACGGACCCCACGGTTTCTTCTCTCCCCTGCCGCGTTTGGAGAAGCTACGCGTGGATTATTGCAAGATTCGTTACCTTCCCGGCGGTGTCTTCGCGTCCGCGCACAATCTCCGAAGTCTCTCGTTGAGAACGCACAACGGCGACTGGTCAGCGATGACTTTAGAGCTGCACGGCGACTCGCTTCGCGGTCTGACCTATCTGCAACAGCTCGACCTCGCAGACAACAATCTCTGGACGCTGCCATCGGAGCTGCTCTGCCCGGTGCAGAGCCTGACGACGTTGAATCTGACGCGCAACAAGTTACAGGACGTCGGTTCCCTCGGCTTCTCGGACTGGGTCGAATCGTGCACACCTAGCCTGGAGGTGTTGGATCTGAGCAACAACGATCTCGGCGCGTTGCCCGATCGCACGCTGAGCAATCTCCGAAGCCTAACGGTGTTGAAGCTGCAGGAGAACGTGATCGCCGCCGTGGGTGATCACGCTCTCGCCGGGCTGACCGCGCTCCATTCTCTCAACATGTCTAGCAATCGGCTGGTCGCGCTGCCGCCCGAGTTGTTCTCGAAGACCAGAGAACTGCGAGAACTGGTGTTAAGCAACAATTCTTTGGCCGTGCTGGCGCCCGGTCTGCTGGACAATTTGGACGAGCTGCAAATATTGGACCTGAGCAGCAACGAATTGACAAACACATGGGTGAACAGAGACACGTTCTCGAGATTGGTTCGCCTCGTGATCCTCGACCTGTCTTTCAACGCCCTCACGAGGCTCGACGCCCACGTGTTTAAGGGCCTGTACAGCCTGCAGATCCTGAAACTCGAGCACAACGAGATCGAAACGCTGATGGACGGCTGCTTCGCATCGCTGACGAACCTCCATTCGTTGACGCTGTCGCACAATCGTATCGTCAGATTCGATCCGCCCCACACGATCGGCCTGACCACTCTCGATCAACTCTTCCTGGACACGAACAAACTGAAAACCCTTCATCGTCACGTGTTCGACAATCTCACGGGGCTGCAGGATCTCTCGCTGAGCGGTAACTATCTCACGGAGATTCCGTACGCGGTCCGCGTGCTCCGTTCGCTGAAGACCCTCGACCTTGGCAATAACCACGTGTCAAGAATCGACAACGACTCGTTCGCCGGACTGAGCGAGTTGTACGGGCTGCGCTTGGTCGACAACAAAATGGAGAACGTGTCGCGCGACGCGTTCGCCGCGCTCCCGGCCCTGCAGGTGTTGAACCTGGCGAACAATTACATCCGTCACGTGGAGCAGAGCGCGTTCGCGAGCAACCCGGTCCTACGCGCGATTAGATTGGACGGTAACCAGCTAACCGAGATCCGCGGTGCGTTCACCAGCCTGACGACCCTCGTCTGGTTGAACGTGTCCGACAATAAGTTGCTGTGGTTCGACTACAGTCATCTGCCGGCGAGCATAGAGTGGCTGGACATACACGCGAATCAGATAAGCGAGCTCGGGAATTATTACGCGGTACGAAACACGCTGCGTATAAAGACGCTGGACGCGAGCTACAACCAAATCGGCGAGATCGCGGAGGCGAACGTGCCCGACAGCGTGGAGGAGTTGTTCCTGAACAACAACAAAGTGCGGACCGTGGCCCCGGGTACGTTCCTGCAGAAGAGGAGCCTGCAGAAGGTGGTGTTGTACGGGAACGAGATAAGGAATCTGGACGTGGCCGCTCTCGCGATCCAAACGGTGCCTCAGGACGACGAGCTCCCGCAATTTTACATCGGTAACAATCCTATACTGTGCGACTGCACGATGGAGTGGCTGCCGAGGATCAACGAGATGGCGCGTCTTCGACAGCATCCCCGCGTGATGGATCTCGACTCGGTCACGTGCGAGATGGTGCACGCGCGCGCGACACCCCGCAGACCGTTGCTATCGTTGCAGTCGAAGGATTTCCTCTGCCAGTACGAAGCTCATTGTTTCGCCCTCTGCCATTGTTGCGACTTCGACGCGTGCGACTGCGAGATGACCTGCCCGGACAATTGTTCCTGCTATCACGACCACAGCTGGTCGAGCAACGTGGTCGACTGCTCGAACGCCGGCTACAAGCACGTCCCCGAACGGATTCCGATGGACGCGACCGAGATATATCTGGACGGGAACGAGCTGGGCGATCTGGGCAGCCACGTGTTCATCGGCAAGCGTCGCCTGGAGGTGTTGTTCCTGAACAACAGCGGCATATCCGCGATCCACAACTGCACGTTCAACGGCGTGGGCGCCCTGCGCGTCCTTCACCTCGAGGACAATACCCTGCGCGAGCTACGCGGGTTCGAGTTCGATCAGCTGGAACGGATGTCCGAACTTTATCTGGATCACAACGCGATCGCGACCGTCGGTAACACGACGTTCAAGAAGATGAGGAGTCTCGAGGTGCTCAGACTGGACAGCAATCGTATCGTCGACTTTCGGCCGTGGGAAGCGTTGCCCAGCGTCGGCGACAGCACCAGGGTCGCGCTCGAGGGTAACGCTTGGAGCTGCGAGTGCGGCAACGCCGCGAAATTACGCGGCTGGCTCGCCGAGCATCGCGGCGATCCCGAGAAGATGTACTGCCGCGACGGCGTCGAGTCCCTCGCGCAAGCTATGAAGCGTTGCGGCGATCCGTCTACCGAGGCCGTCAGCCGTGGAATCCAGGAAATCCCCTTGCTCGGTGGTAACTTCGTGCCGCTTTTAGCCGGCGCCTTGGTGGCCGTCATCGCGATCTGTCTGTTCGTCGCGCTCGCGTTCGCGTTCCGACAAGACGTGCGCCTTTGGGCACACGCTCGTTACGGTCTACGTCTGGGTAAAATGACCACGCCGCCTGACGAGGAGAGGGACCGCCTCTACGACGGTTACATCGTCTACAGCGAACGGGACGAGGACTTCGTTTCCAGGTTCCTAGCCGCCGAACTGGAGCAATCCGGTCTGGCCCTTTGTCTGCACTGGCGAGATTTGCCACCGGCCAGGCCACAGGAAGCCGTGCCGCCGGCCGCTGCCGCGGCCCGACGTATAGTCATCATATTTTCACCAGTGTTCCTGGCCAACGAATGGCAGCACGTGGAATTCCGCGCCGCGTTGAGAACCGCGTTGGAGAACATCAGACCCAGTTCGAGGAAGAGGCGCGTGGTCGTGCTACTGGCCACGGACGCGCCTAGTCGCGATCCCGAGCTGCAGCTGCTGCTGCAAACGTGCACGGTCGTGATCTGGGGCGAGAAGAGGTTCTGGGAGAAGCTCCGGTTCGCGATGCCGGACTCCGTGGGCAAACGACGGGACAGCAAGAAGGTGAACGACCGAAATCGCAAACCGGCGCGTTATACGGCCGCCCCGTCCGCCGGGGACGTATGGACCAAGCCTAACGGCGTTTTGGTCGCCCCGGTGCACGCACCCACGCCGACGCCCACGCAGTCGACGTACGTAAGCTCGGCGTCGAGCAGGACCGAGGACGAGGACAGCGGAGCAGAGCATCAACACCAACAGCACCAGCACCAGCACCAGCACAGCGGTTACAGCGCGTTGCACGCCGGAAACGCGAGGCCGGCCAGTCTGTCCTCGAGGGGCAGCCATCTTTACAGCACGATACCGGAACCACCGGTACCAACTGCGCCTCCCGGTGAGGTCTTGACGCATCCTCGTACTTATTTCGTCTAGTATAGGCGAACAGCGTTGCTCGCGCGACGTTCCACGGCCACGATGGGCCACCGTGTCAGAGGCCGGACACTGACGAGGCCCGCCATGTGTAAATTCGCTGTGGGTATCGAATGAGAGGGTACTGACTTAATGAAAAGGTATGCGAGAGAATGAGAAACGCGTGATTGAATGTCCAGAGGTATTTGTACAGTTTCGTTCGTTGCTCGCGATGAACCGGCATTCGATTATGCTCGATTCGTATTAGCCGAAAACGTATAGATTATTAACGCACTGAACTGTGAGAACGTCTAATGATTTTAATTGATTGACGTACAGGTAAACTTGAATTTAATTATGACATCTTGAAGCCGAGAATCTTGATTTTCGAAAACACACGAGTCCACTCAACGAATCACGGCTGGAGAGAAGATTCGTACAGAACGTCTTTCAATAAAGTCTATTAGCAATCGCTTATTTCAGATGATAATTCTTGTTGACATTGTCTGTAGAATTGCACTCGATCAGACGTAAGGAATTTCGTCAGATTTTACGTCGGCTCGAATCTGGCCGGCTAATGCAAATCGGATTTTATTCGAACGCGGTCGGTTCGTTTGCTCTTCCACTAGAAATCGGTTGACTAGGAATCCTCCTCAGGTTCCCGTGTCCACTCGTAGCACGGAACGAACCGTGGAGGATCGTTTCCGCAGGGGTTTCAAAGGGGGGACGGATATTGTAACGAGAGTTGTCAGCCTCGCGAGAAAGTGCTTTCCAGAGTATGCGAGGCTTCTCGACTCGTTTCGTTTTACCTCGAAGCGTGATGTTTGATCGACGATAAATCGAGAGACGGCGGGTTTATTTAAATAAACGTTTTCTTCGTAACGTTAAACGCTGTTACGTAGGGAGAACATTTACATAGACACACACACACATACACGTGGCCGAAGTCATTATTTTTACGTACTAGAGGTGACAGAGAGAAAGGGTACTAATAGCGTGAGAATTTCTCCCTGCACAGAATTATTTACGGATATGCACGTGCGTAAGATGCGAAGAGTAACGAGGACAAACTAAAAAGCTTTAGGTGATACATGTAATGGCAGTCAATGAGGACGTAGACACTGTTATTATTCTCGTCACTCGTTTAGAGGGCCTAATGTGAAACACACACCGAAACAAAATTAATAACAGCGACCACCCAGCGAAAATCGATGTAGACTGTAAGAATAGTGTTCGCCCTTTGCCGTTGCATACTCAACCATCAGCGTTGTCACCGCTCGACACCGGTTCAGAGATTTCGCGACCTCGCGTGGCGTTCTATTCGATTTCGGAATAAGCGAGCAGAGAGAAAAGGCTGCGGCGGGAATCTCGAGACTCGAAAATTCTCCTCGTTACCCGGGACGCTCTCGACGGCGGGCATCGAGGGTTTCGATCACGCTTGAAAAATAACTCTTTTCTCTGGCGCCGTGTCCGCGCCGCGCGCCGTTTCACCGCGGCCGCACACCTCGATCGATCGATCGCGATGTGCAACCCGCCTCTTCGCTTTCTCGCCTTCTCGCCGAATAGATACATACGTCGTTATTTATTTTCATCGCCTTATTCTCACCGTGATTCCATTTGTTCTACGATTCTTTCAACAACACGAGTTTCACCTAATTTTTTTTCACTGAACCATCGAACGTGCCAATCGTTCATTTTCTTTTATAAATAATTTAACGCACGACGCTCGGTCAATACTAAACCAAGTTCTTGACAATCGTTTTGTTTCGCTGCTGCATGAAAAGACTTCAAGATACGAAGCATGCAATTATTATTTTCGTCGATTTTCTTTTCGTTTTGTAGACAATTGTATTGAGTAATTAAAATGAACCATGACATTTTACATTACTTAGACAAACACGAGGACAAGATAAGTTAAAGACCAATCGGAGATTTCTGTTTCTTTTAAGTCGAGTATAAACTCCGCGCTGGTAGAAAACACAACAATGTACTCTTTTCCTGTACGTACGAGTAGAATCAGCGGCGATGTTTGTAAAAAGAGCGAAGAGATATACTTGTGTCTTTAGTCCGAGATTAATTTTATTTTCCAGGACTTTCGTTTACCTTAGCGGATAGCGTTTTCCTCTCTTCGAGGGCCAATCTTTATGATTTTTTTGTTGAGACAACGCGACATTTTCCATCCCGAACGAGGTATCGAGGATCGAGTACCGATCGAGGAAAGAAGAGACGAGAATGGGAGACCGCGCGTACGTTTTGCTCCGCGCCTCGGGAGCAGGGAATCCTCCCTTCGTACTAATCGTGTATTATATTTTTTTCTATTCCCGTCCGCCGGGGAACGGAGCAACGCGCCCCTAGTTCTCATTCCTGTCGTCCGTTCGTCAATTCGTTAGAGAGAAAAAAGTACGAATGAGTGAGAAAGTAATTAAGTACATTAATAAAGAGACTCCGGAGGAGAGTGCGCGTTCAGAGAGATAAGAAAGTGTGCACGCATGATGCGACGGTTACATGCATTTAAGATGGGAGTGTGAGGGGAGGGTGAAAATACGGGAGGCGTCTAGCGAGACAACCTCGTTCCTAAGATTCACGACTGTCTTTTTTTTGGTAAAAAGCAACGGTCGCCAAACGCTTATTAGTCTGTAAGTGGATACTCCGGTGTACATAGTTGTGTATAATTTAACGTTGTAAATAACTCGCGCACACTTCTCGAGCACATCAAGGTGGCCAGCCACTTGTACCTATATGTATACATATAATAGCATAGGAACTTAAATACTGGTCTCGTCACACCAACCAACGGGAAAGCGAGATTCCTCATTGGGAAACTTGCGGACTTATCGATTGTACTGTATTATTGTAAATACGCTCATCGGATCACGCGTATATATAT